AAAAAAAAAAAAAAAAAAAAATGAATGTTGCCTTGGCAACAAAACTGAAAAAAAAAAAAAAAAAAAAGTTGAATTTATAAAATAAAATAAGTTGAAGTGACTAAAATGACTAAAATAGAAATAATAATAATAATAAAGATAAATAGAAAAAAGAAAAAAAAAACCACAAATGACAAAATTGCATAACAAAATGACTAAAACTGAAAATATAAATAGAAAGGCTAATTCAAAATGCTAATAGATACTATATAATAAGTTCAAGTTCAAGTCTGCTTTATTGTCAATTCTTTAGGAGGAATGCATCACAGAAGGAGCAGCTGTTATGTTGGAAGTGTAGTGTTTAGTGCATGAAAGCGGTGCGTGACACTGACTGGTGCCGTGGACCTCTTCCCCGGTGAAGCGGATGTTGAAGGCGTAGGTGGGGTCTCCTCCGCTGGCGATCCGAACACACAGCTGAGACGAGGGGACGCAGGACAGCTGACGCGCCGCCTGGCAGAAGTACGTGTTCTCTGCTGCACGCGTCTCTCCTGCAGCACACACGGTAAGCATGAGGAACTGATATAGTACAGACCCTCGTCTGAGTGAGTGACACCTCATTGGTTTACCTCCCACTATCTCCAGCGGGTCGAGCGTGACCTCAGGCGCGGCGTGATCCGCTGTGCGCTGGACGCTTGCGTTCAGCACCCGGTTCATAAAAGTCACTTTGGTGTCGTAAAAAATCAGGCCTGCAAATGAGATCAAGAGAAAAGGATTAACCGACAAAGTGCTCTTAATTGTACTGAATGTGCACTTGTAGTGTGCTTCACATCTTAAAAGTATATTTTTCTTGCAGATGATATGTGGCCCTGGAGCACAAAACCAGTCATAAGGGTAATTTTTTTAAAAATTGAGATTTATGCATCAACTGAAAGCTGAATAAATAAGCTATCCATTGATGTATGGTTTGTTAGGATAGGACAATATTTGGCCGATTATTGGCATAAAAGAAAAATCGATAATTTTGACCCATACAATGTATATCTGGATATTGCTATAAATATACCCCAGCGACTTAAGACTGCTTTTGTGCTCCAGGATCACAAATAAAGTAGTGCCAAGTTGATATTGATTGAAATGAATTCGAATGAATTAACGAGAGAGAAAACACGCGAGCGAGTGTGAAGCTTGTTGGTTTAATCACAAAAACTGCCAAGTTATCACCTCATTGCTGAGAGATATAATGTAGAGTTTTGTTGTATTTATAAAATTCACGGGGCAGGGGTTGAAAACCAGCTCCTGAATGTACAATTTCTTACCTATATAAAGTTTCCGTATCAATAAAATGCGAGCGCATACAGCACACCGGCATTAAAACACAATCTTTATGGGCAAACGTGTCGCCCTCGCCATATGTGTGTTTAGACGTAGGTCGGATGTCCAGATACCGGATATGTATCTGATTTAAAACCACATTTGGAAGTGGCTCAGATCTGATGAAAAAAAATCAAATCTCGTGTGGATTTTTGTGTTTAAACGTGTGCAACAAATTCCGATCTGTGTCAGATGTGAGCAAAAAATCAGATTTTTTGTGCCAGTGTAAATGCAGCCTGTTAACACAGTTAAGTACACTTTTAAAAGTAATATCGTCAAATTAAAAGTTTTACTTTAAAGTACACTTTAAATCGTTGTTTTAATAACCTTTTGTTGTTTTAAAGAGGTACACTTATTTTGATGTGTTGACTAACATATGAAAAAATGTAAAGTGCTTGATCATAATTTTTAACTGTAGTGTTATTTGATATTACATTTAAAGTTAATATATTTAAATTTTTCAATGTTATAAATGTGTAATTACAAATACAAGAGTCAATAGAAACGACATTAAAGTATATTTTAGTTTATCATAAACGCCTGTCAGTACATTCAGCAGCACTTTAACCATATTTCAAAGACAATAGAAGTAATTATGAAATTACATAAAAAGATGTACTTAAGTCAATTTCAGCTAAGTGCATTTAATATAAATTTAAAGAACAATACCTTTTAATTTAATTGCAGTGGACATGCTATTAAGTGTCTGAAATCATCACATTCAGTTCACACTTAAGTATATTAGTTTAAAGTAGTATACTATTTTTGTAATAAATACTCTTTTTAAACGTTTATTTATTTTCACAAAGGGAATATATTACATTTTTTGTCAATTTTATTGTAAAAATTCTTTCAGAATTACAAAATACCCTACATATATGAAATAAAGAAGCACTTTAAGGGGTAATTTAGTACAGCGATGGCATCAGATGGTAAAACCATGGTAATTTAATAATATACTGTGGTGCTTTAACACTGAACATTCACAAAGACGGTTCTCCAAAGCACTTCAATGAAAACCATGATATTACTACGGTATTAGAGCATGTAAAATGCCACACAAGGACTTCCACGAACATTTTCGAGTTACACAAATAAATGGAAAGCTTGGGAAACTTAATGGCCAAATAAAAAAGGCGCTTTAAAATCATTACAACATACACAATGCTGCTTCATTTCATACTTCCAAGAAAATAATACTGATCACAAATATTCAATATATTGAAAATAATCGATATATTCCACAGCCTATCCAAAAAAACATGGTACTTTTTAGTAGCCTTCTATTTAGCTACTAAAGAAACAATCCTGACCAAGACCAGTGTGTCTGTTTATGCGATGACTGACCTTTGGCTTCGCACAGAAGCGTCGCGATGCTGTTTTGATAGGTTTGTGTCAGCCTCAGCTCGACTAACGGCAGGAAGTAGCTCTCCAGAGTGCTGTTGAGGGACTGCAGCAAAGCAAACCGCAGACGCAAACTCTCCACTGGAACGCCTGTGTGATCAGAGTTACCTTCAGTGCACACTGGGGTTAAAAACTTGGTGGCTGTACATCTCATAATTATGGAAGCCCGTTTCCGCCACTGAATAAAAAATAAAACAAGGTAATTGCAACTTTTTATCTCATAATTCTGACTTTTTTTTTGCAATTGCGAGTTATAAAGTCAAAATTGCAAGTTATAAAGTCAGAATTGCGAGAAAAAAGGAAAGTCAGAATTGCGAGAAAAAAAGAAATTCAGAATTGCGAGATATAAAGTCGCAATTGCGAGAACAAAAGAAAGTCAGAATTGCGAGATATAAACTCACAATTGCGAGAAAAAAAGAAAGTCAGAATTGCAAGATATAAACTCACAATTCTGAGAAAAAAAGGAAGTCAGAATTGCAAGATATAAACTCACAATTGCGAGAACAAAAGAAAGTCAGAATTGCGAGATATAAACTCACAATTGCAAGAGAAAAAGAAAGTCAGAATTACGAGATATAAACTGACAATTGCGAGAAAAAATTAAAGTCGCAATTGCGAGAACAAAAGAAAGTCAGAATTGCGAGATATAAACTCACAATTGCGAGAACAAAAGGAAGTCAGAATTGCAAGATATAAACTCACAATTGCGAGAACAAAAGAAAGTCAGAATTGAGAGATATAAACTCACAATTGCGAGAAAAAAAGAAAGTCAGAATTGAGAGATATAAACTTGCAATTGCGAGAACAAAAGAAAGTCAGAATTGCGAGATATAAACTCACAATTGCGAGAAAAAATTAGTCGCAATTGCGAGAACAAAAGAAAGTCAGAATTGAGAGATATAAACTCACAATTGCAAGAGAAAAAGTCAGAATTGCGAGATATAAACTCACAATTGCAAGAGAAAAAGAAAGTCAGAATTGCGAGATATAAACTCGCAATTGTGAGAACAAAGGAAAGTCAGAATTGTCAGATATAAACTCACAATTGCAAGAGAAAAAGAAAGTCAGAATTGCGAGATATAAAGTCGCAATTACCTTGTTTTATTTTTTATTTAGTGGCGGAAACGGCTTCCATACATAATCCAAATCTAACAGCATAACGTAACATGGACTCGCCTATTAAGCATGCGACTTGGGGGTCGGCGGTGTCTTTGGCGTCGAGGTAAACTTCATGTGGATGCAAGCGGGCAGGAGTGATGGCCAGGTGTCGGCACAGACGGTTAACAAACTGGACCAGCGCAAAGTCCATCTCAAAGGTCCATTTTCTACTGGCTTTCTGAGCGTGTCGGGAGTCGATGCACGTGCATCTGAAACAAAAAAACACCATTAAGATCTTCAGAGAGTTGCATTCATTATTCTAGCCATTAGTTTTCTTAGACAGTAGAACAAGAGAGACGTGGAAACATGAAGTAGTACGGAAGGAGGTTTGGTCTTGGGAAGGTACAAACCTTTCAAAGTGCAGGTCGTAACCGCACGCCAGGATCGCCCGCCAAACACTGCGAATATCCTGCTTGGCTCTGTCTAGAGTAAACTTGTGGAAACCTTCCAGGGTCAGAAACTTCTCTTCTGGCACTGATGGACAGAGGAAAGGTGAGGTGTTCAGATCCATGAGATTCCACCGAAACAGACCATGTGTTAGGTTTTTGTTAATAAATTCAGAAATCAAGAATGATGTTATATTAACCTTCAAGCTTTTTGGCGGGAGACTTTTCAGGGTCTTTTTCATCGGGCTTGGTCTTCTCAGGAGATTTTGACTTAAGGACTGCTTTTTTCTCACTTAGTACAGTTCTGGAAAAACGTACCATACCATTTATTATAGTCACCTAAAACTAAAAAAATTATTTTCATAACTTAAGAAAAAAAACAAAAAACAAAAACTTGCCAATGCAACATTACTAATATATATATACATTTTTTATTCAATTTATAATAATAAAAACAATTTTTTTTTAATAAAAATGCCAAAATCACTATTATTAAAGCTTTAACTAAAATAAAAAACAATAAAAAAAAAATTAAAAAAAATTAATAGTTTTTTATTAATACAAAAATAATAGTATCTCGATACAAAAAATAACACTGGTATCATGCATCTTACGAGAGCAGATAAATTAATTTAATATATTTCGAATGAAAAACAATGGTTAATTAGAATGTATTTTATGGTAAGTTATGCCTGTGTTCAATTAAATATTTAAATATTAAATATTTATAGAGGAAACTGACTACTGAGCGTGATGTCAGTACTCACCTAACACTGTTCAGCATGGACTTCTCTTTGGTCGGGGGTTTGGTGATGGGTCTTTTTGTGCTGACCACTTTGCCTTGGTGCTGCTCTTTGCCTGCCTTGCTGTGCTTGTTCTTGTTGGGCTTTACTGTGCCATATTTACGAAGAATCTACATGTACAATAAGAAAAGTTTAGTAATTTAAGCCTTGACCCAGTCAAATACTTTGTGTCTGTTCAACTGTGCCTTAAAACTGATGCTAACAAAAAACAAACTAACAGAAAAAGTTAATAGTATAGTAACACATGTGTGGATTACAAGTAGATATGCCAATTTTTTTGTAATTTTCATAACAATAATCAATTATCATTTTGCAAAATGCATGTGGAAGACTCAAAATGACCATGTGCATGTAGTGGATTTTTCTTTTTTATAATAAAAAAATCAACTATTAATACATATGTTTCATGATAAATTAGCCATTTAATAATAATAATAAATGAATTACAGTTCTGAGGATTTCACCTGAGTGAGCTGGTCATCAAGCACCTTCTTGGGAGGCCGCACATTTGTAAAAAACAGGTGGAGCAGGTTTCCTGGTGTCTGAGAGTTCATCTGCTCTTTGCTCAGATAAACGTCCGATACTTTCACTGGTTTTGTTGGTACGGAGCTCAGCACCTGCTCTGCGTATATACAGCTCTTAAAGATGTCTGTCAGCACATCACGTGCTTCAGGAACCAATTTATCTCCTACAAGGACAAAAAATAATTAAACTTGATATCAAGTTATTAAGGAAAACCCTTGCAAGAAGAATTACAGAATAAAATAACATATTTGTAACATTCTGGGATAAAGAAATCAACGAACCTCTGATCGATTTGTCAAGGAAGTACTCCTCCAGGGCAGAACTCCCTTGTGTGTCAAACAAACTCTGATTTACACTGGAGGCGGTGAGGATCTCCTCATTGGTCATCTCCATTAGCTCCTCCTCTCTTTCCAGATTAGAAAGGCCAATGAGATCACTGCTGTTAAAAAGACTGGCCCGAATCTTCTCTACTTGGGCCCGGGCCCTTACCTATAAGACAAGAGCAAAAAAACATAACATTATTAGGTACCTAATTTCTTTCACAAAATGGTTAGTGCTACTAGTGTTGCTAAGGTGCTCTGAGTGGTTGCTAACGTGTTGCTATGCAGTTGCTAGGGTGCTCTAGATGCGTTTTATCATTGTCTGAAAATCTGGTGAAGATGTGATGAACGCAGTAGTAAGAGTTTGTAAAAGTTTTAGCCAAATGAATCAAAAAAGTTCTAAGCATATTTAAATAATTTGTTATATTTTGTACCACTAGGTGGCAAGCACTGGCATTCTCAGCGCTGTCAAAATAAAAGTCCCCCTTCTGACGCTTATCAGCCCACCAAAAAAACGTAATAACCAATGCTGATTATTAAAAAAGGCCAAATATCGGCTGATATATCAGCCCTGGCAAAAACTAATCGGCTGATACTGATAATTTACAAAAAATGCCAAATATCAGTGATATATCCGCATTGGCAAAAACTTAATGACCGATACTGATAATGAAAAAAAAAAAGCTAAATATCGGCCGATATATCAGTCTTGGCAAAAACTTAATGGCCGATACCGATAATTAAAAATTAATAAAAAATTAATTTGGCCTTGCAAAATAACAGTCAATCAATACTTGATATCATTGTCATGTCTCATGTCTCATGCAATCCAAAGTAGAGGTAAAACGAAATAAGCAAAAAAAAAAAATTTAAAAGCCGGTTGCTGATAATTAAAAAAAAAAAAAGGCCAAATATCGGCCGATATATCGGCTTTGGCAAAAACTTAATGGCCAATACTGGTAATACAAAAAAAAGCCAAATATAGGCTATCAGCTTTGGCAAAAACATAACTGATACTGATAATGAAAAAAAGGCTAAATATCAGCCGATATATCCACCTTGGCAAAAATTTAATGGCCAATACTGATAATTAAAAAATGCCAAATATCAGCCGATATATTGGCCTTGCAATATAACAGTCGATCAATACACATGTACAGGAACAGTGCATTTTCAGTTTTCCATACTTTTCCGTAAAATAAAAATTGTCAAACGTCTTGTGTTATTATGTGCTTATTTGCAAAAGCAATTTAAGTAAAAAAAATCATTTCAATTAATTTGAAACATGAGCATGGTATACCATACCAATAAAAACAACTCTAATTTAACTCTACATATGAACAATAGTAATAAAGTTGCTTGTAAACACCACTCATATTATATTATTGTTGTTTGTCCCACCTACCTCTATGACAGCATAGCCTTTGATTGGTCGTGTCACACTGGCATGGATGTCTGGCGAGGCAACTGTGTACATGGAACTCCCATCTGAGACTGACGTCGCACCACTATCCAACTGCTCCCCAATGCTGCCGAGACTACCTTGACTTCCTGTGCTACAAAGAGACATATCCAGACTCTCCTGACTGGAGACCGTGCGGGGATCCAGCGGTGCATGTGGCTGGGAAGGTGCTATTTGAGGGGTTACCAGCTCTTGGTTCACTAGCAGCTCACCGGCAGCCCTGGAAGCTCCCTGTAAAGAGCCGGAGACCGACGTCTGGCTCGCTGAAGCTGAGGCACTCATTGCTGGCGTTGCGCTGTTGCTATTTGGGCTTCCTGCAGTGCAATCTCGCTTTGCACCTTGGGAAATACCTGAAGTTTCAGCTTTGGCTTTTTTAGGGTCCTCCTCCTGAACCGGAATAAAGATCTCATCCTTGAAGAGACCGCCGTGTGCGTTGCAAGCCCTTCGGATTGCATTGCGCACCAC